GTGTCGTTCCTCCACTTCGGAGAAGTTTGCATATTTTTTCGGGAGTCCGTACACGAGATCTTGTATGAGCGAAGATTTTAAAACGGAGGGGAGGGGGTAGACGGGGTGGGAATATATTTCCAAAATTTCAGTCTCCCAGCATTTCTGGCTGCTGAGTTGCAAGTGGATGACAAAGTTCACTCGCTTCTTGACAAACATACACACACACGGACGACCTCTCGACAATATGCGTTCTTGCTCGCTGCGACACCGCTACAGCGTTTCACAGCAAAAACGCATAAAAATCCCTAAATTATCGTGAAATAATTTTTCCCTGATTGAGGTTGAACAAATTTCAGGAGCGGAAGCTATGATTTAGCACTTATACTGCTGTTAATATTTATTTTTGTTGTACTGTTCACGGCGGCCACAATGTTTGTCATATATTGCGTTTACAATCGTAAAAGTAATGCAAGAGGCTTCGAATTTAATGGAAGTTTCACCGATGACAGCATTGTCGGATCACAGGTAGCAGATTCACCCGTTTCTAAGGAACTGCCAGTTTCATGGAACTGCAAGTAGTATTTTTTTGTGTACTGAATATCAACAAATTAGGCTATCCAGGTAACTAGTAATGGTACTTCCTGTGCAAGTGGGTCATGGAACTTTCTTTGTTAATCAGTGCCTTAATAAATGAATTTTTGAACGTATTATTGCAGGCTAGTGGTCCGTCAGCGTGCTTCGCAGATCGTCGTTATCTCCCCCGTGTCAATCCTCTAAATTTTTTTGAGAATAGACGAAGTCAGTTTGGTTCCGATGGCATTAATGAAATGTAATTGTGTCCTTGCGACCGCATTTTGCTTTGCGATCTATCTGCGGTTCTATTCTTTGCGAAATTTCCATGACCCAGAGAAGTATTTTTTGAGTTCTCTAGTATCCACGAATTCTATCTCGCACCCAACTCCCTAATTACATGCGGTGTGGTATCATGCAACAAAACCTAAAACTCTGTTGAAAATTACTGCATATTCTAAGAGTTTGAAAAACTGGTCAGAATTACTATTTTTAGTATGAAGTAAATCTTTTCGCTTTGAGACTGCATATGCATCTTTTCAATTAAGGATACGACTGGAAGTGTTGTTTTGCTTTGTTGTTTGCGGTTTTCTAGGTGATAAAACATTCATCTGTTTTAAAATTTTTCCAAATCTGTATTACACCTGGAAACATTTTATAACCCAGGCTGGAACGCACCAGGCGAGCTGGTGCGATCATGCGTTTTTGCATCAAACTTTGAG